CTCTTTGGGAAAGTCGACCCTTTTATCCAGTTTATGATTTATAGAATAAATAATCAATGACCTATTTTTCATAAATTGGTGATTTAATTTGTCCTTTTAGCTCGACCCTATTTCTAGAACATATGACAATAAATGATCTATTTTCTTCAACTGGTGGTTAATAAATCATTTATTGATAAAATGTATATGTGTCTATGTCTCTTTTTGATCATCACTTCATCCTTTTCTGTCCTGAACCTGTAAGTTAAACCTCGGTCACATATGTTTTATACTTTACCTCTGCCTCTTTCCTTCTGTACTTGACAAACTGCTTGTACAAGTCATTGTTCTTTTTGTTTGTGTTTAATCGTTGTCAAGTGAAAAAGCTCAGCCCCTCTGCTCCAAGTCTTCACCTCCACTCCTGAGCCTCTCTCCTCTCACCTCCACTCTCTCCTCTTCCTCCTCTCCTCCCCTTTTTGATGAGTTGATGAGGTTATTTTGAGTGTGTCCAGTAGGTGACAGCAGAAAAAACAGCTGAGCAGGTGAGTCTCTGAAATCATTTCCTCAGGCCCAGGTGAACAAACACAAACCAAACCAACCTAAGAAAGGTGAAGGAAAAACACAGAGACACCAGTGAGGAAATTTACCTCTAAAATTAGTTTTTTAAGTTTAGTTAAAATAGTAAAATGGTGGTAAAACCCATATAGAAGTAATCTCTTTAATTTAGATGTAAAATGTTTCCATCAGACTCTTCGTCAATAGATTCCCACTTATGCATTGCTAAATCTTGCTTCAGAGCCATTATTGATTGTTCTGTTTTAACCCTCTGCTAACAGACTCTATTAACATCTTCGGTTATTTTACAGTTGACACATACACCATAAAGACTGGTAAATGATCACTGGTGTCATTTACGTAGTAATAGACCACCAATGATGTTACTGCCCAAAATATGACAGAATATATGATCTATTAAGGTGGCACTGTGTGTTTTTATTCTAGTTGCTCTTATAATTCATGGATACAAGACCATGGCAAACATTGTATTGATAAATTCCTCAATGAATTGATGTTTTTTGCATTGAATAAATCAATATTGTCGTCTCCACAGATTATAACATCCCTGGTAGTTTTATTACTAAATCACTTTTCCATCCGTTCACTAAATAAGTCCATGTCCGATCCTGGTGTCCTGTAAACACATCTTACAATTGTGTTTTTTCTTTTTTGCACTGTCATTTCTACAGTTATACATTCAAAAATGTGATCCACTGCCAGAGACAAACTTTCTACAATATGACACTTGATGTTTCTATCAATATATAAAGCCACTCCTCTTCCTTTCTTACAGCTCTCTATTTGTACAAAACATTTCATAACCCTTCAAATTCAACTCTGTCCCTTTATCCCCATTTATCCACGTCTCTGAGACTGAATTATGTTAAAGGTGATTTGAACTGATTCAGATCATCTTTAATGCATTTGAAATTGGAGTATAAACTTCTGCTGTTAAAATGAACTCAAGATATTTTTTGGTCCAGTATACTTTCTTTATTAAATGTGTCCTCTGTGAAATAGAAACAATGATTCTTTGTACTCGGAGGAATGTGATTATCTGGATAAATTTCCTTCATGTTAGTTTGGGCTTTGTACTTAATATGATCTGTGCCATTCACCTGGAGCTCGAGGTTCTGTGTTCTAGGTCTTTAGAAAATGGTCAAAGTTATCATTATTATTTTTTTTTTTACATTTTGTTCAAAGGTCCAATAAAGAGTGAAATATGAAAGAATCAGAATGTTGTGTCTATTATTTCATGTGTCAGGCTTTATAGGGCGAGGTGTTATTATTGATGAAAAATGTCATTGGAAAGAACACGGACAATATATACAGAGTCAAATATCCAAAAACATGGCAGTATTAGGTAAGGCCAAATATTTAGTGGACAAAGCTCTACAGACACTTTATTGTTCTTTAGTTGCACCATATTTGACGTACTGTGCTGAGATCTGGACTAATAATAATATTGGAAGCACTTTTCATATGACAGAAAAGAGCAATAAGAGGAATCATTCATAACGCTGGGTTTTATGAGCACAACAAGCAGCATTTTTATCACTTCAAACATGTTCAAACTTAAGGATAAACTCATCAACATCCAGAGCGCCAAAATAATGTACAAGGCAAAAAGGAAAGAACCACCAAAACATATTCACAAACATTTGATTGAAAGAGAAATTTCTTGTCATTTAAGGGGAATGCGTCTCTTTAAAATGTTCAGAGTCCGAACAACAAGGAAAAGTTTTTGTGTTTCAGTTTGTGGGTCAAAATCTGGAACTTTGAGTGATGAGCTCAAAAAATGCCCAAATCTGAAAATGTTGAAAGGAAAATATAAAGAAATGATTCTAGCTAAGTGTGTAGAAGAAGGAACTGAAGTGAATTGGTCATCGGAATGTAAACTACAACATATTTCTTTTGTATCTGGAGTCATGTGACGTACGATTAGAAGAGTCTGGCAGAAGCACATTGTTGCTTTCATGAATTATTGATGTATATTTTTATCTGGAGATTATATTTGTGATGAGTGATGTCAAATAATTGTCTTTATGTATCTGTTGATTGCTGTTATTATGTGTTTCTCTGTTTGCTCCATTTTGGTCCATTCTCAGACTGACTGTGAGCGCCCTCTGGTGGACACAACACAGCCTTGACATGACAAACATTTGGAAGTAGAAAGAGAGAGAGAAGGGTTTTCTCGAAATATTTCATGACACTTTATAACACTGTGGTCCTGTACATATATAACACCCACACACATCTCCCACTCTAGACGTGGCAAAGGAGAAATTGGCTTTTAGGTGGAGATGAACAGCAGACTGAGGTCCTGTGTTGCTCTCTCGTCTGTGCTGGTTCATCCTCTTGTGAAGTGTCTGTTTTCGTTTCTCCAGTGTAGTTTTGTCTTTTGGCTGGACCAGTTTCTGTCTCAAAGTGTTTGTAGGTTTGAAATAGTCTGGGATCTCATGGTGTCTGAAAATCCTCTGTAGTTTTTCAGAAACACCAGTCATTTAAGGAATAGTTACGACCTTTCTTCTGGGTTCTGATTCTGCCGCTTCAACAGACACTTCACAAGAGAATGAACCAACACAGATGAGAGAGCAACACAGGACCTCAGTCTGCTGTCATCTCCACCTAAAAGGACATTTATCTTCATCCAGACACTGAAGTGAGGCTCATGTCTGCACTCTTTTTCTGTCAAACTCCACTATTAACATCACTTTTTTTGTTCAACGATGTAAAAATAGATGAAAAATGTTGGACTGTTTTACACCGAGGAGAGTGAGTCTGTCGGAGCACACAGAGACACTGAGGAGTCAAAAGACCCAAACCCAAACCCAGGGATGAGAGTGTGAGTGAATGTGGTGTTGAAGGTGTGGAGGTGGGTCAGTTGGTCAGAGGAGACTGTGTAGAAGGACAGAGAGCCAGCAGGACAGTCCACAAACACTGCTACTCTCCCACCAGAGGAACAGGCCTGAGAGAGGAGGATTCGGTTGTTATTATGACGAACATAAAAAACATCTTCAGAACACCACAGACTCCAGGACTGATTATTGCGTCCAAACCAACTGTCATAACCGCCTTCTTTCCTTCGGATTCTTCTGTAAGACACTGATATAGAAACCGCTCCACTCCACTGGACCTCCCAGTAACAGCGACCAGTCAGACCAGTGGAACACAGAATCTGTTCCCATTCGTCAAATCTGTCCTGATGATCTGGATACGGTTGCTCCTTCCACACACGTGTCACCTTCTTGTTGTTGTCAGACAGTTTGAGTTTTCTGTGAGCTGTGTTTGGATCCAGAGTGAGATGACAGAAATCTGATGGAGAGAAAACACAACACAGCAGCAGTGAGTCCCCTGTCCACTCTCATCATTCCACTCTTCTGTTTGTCTCACATTTATGTGAGTGTAAAAACATTTCCTTTCACAGCCCCACACCAGTCTATTTCAGATTATTCTCAGTGTAAATCTGGAGTCTATTTCAGATTAATCTCAGTGTAAATCTGGAGTCTATTTCAGATTAATCTCAGTGTAAATCTGGAGTCTATTTCAGATTATTCTCAGTGTAAATCTGGAGTCTATTTCAGATTATTCTCAGTGTAAATCTGGAGTCTATTTCACATTATTCTCAGTGTAAATCTGGAGTCTATTTCACATTATTCTCAGTGTAAATCTGTCTATTCACATTATTCTCAGTGTAAATCTGGATTTCTCTGGGGTTTGTTGCTGCAGTGACAAAGTGCAGCTCCAGTCTCTGACGTCAGTCCACACATTCCTACACTCCTCTGTGCTCCAGGACACACACTTTCTCCTTTAAAGAGGGGCTATGTTCTGAGTCTTCCCTCTTTTTTCTCCCCATGCTAAGTCCCTCCCCCTTCAGTGCACTATCCCAACACACACGAACCACTAATGAAACTCCTGCACATCACATCAGGTTTGTCCAGTTGCTGTGTTCAGTTTTGTGTCATGTTTTTGTGTATTTATGGAGACTTGTCATGTGGGAGCATGGGGGACGTAGGCTTGTGGGCGGAGCCTCGTACAGGCTCGTACTGCTAACAGTAAGGAGGGTCCAGGAGAGATCTCTAGATTACTCAAACATACATGGATGACTTTTTCTTGCATAAGAGCCGCTCTTTAAAATCTGTCCAGGTGAATCCAGTGTGACTTGTGCTTGTGTGGAGACAGTCCTGTGCTGAGTCCAACAGTTGTGTCTGTGGCAGTGGCTCCAGGGCTCCTCCTTTGCTCCAGCAGCAGTACTTCTGATGTTTTGATTTATTTATTGTGATGATTATGATTTTGTACAAATAAACTTAAAACAGTGTCCAGATGATTACCCCTGAAACTCTACATCTCTACATCACAACAGTGTTTGAACTCACTCAAAAAGGAAACGCTGTGACCCTCAAAAATGAGCCGGTTGTGTAATAGAATGTTGACAGATGCTTTGTTTGTGTGACACAAATAAAATCATCAAACTGACCAGAGTTAAATGGGTTAAGTCAGACTTACATCTCCGGATTGGATTCATCCATTGTTCTCCAGCAGGTCTCAGTCTGAAGGAAACACACCACATCAGAGTTTGTCTCAGAGCATTTTCACTCCATGTGACATTCAAATGTGTTCTTTTGACCCTAACACTCTTCTCAATCTGTGATGCACAGGACTCTGGTGCTTCTGAAGTCTGTTTTTATTCATGACACTGTCATTTATGATTTTGAGTGTTAAGCAGGTGAGCATGTCCATACCTGAGAGTGTCCAGTGTGCAGTGGGGGTCCTCCTGTAGAGCACACAGGAGCTTTACTCCTTTGTCTCCTGGATGGTTGTAGCTGAGGTCCAGTTCTATCAGATGGGAGGGGTTGGACCTCAGAGCTGAAGCCAGAGAAGCACAGCCTTTCTTTGAGACCAGACAACCTGACAGTCTGAGGACACAGATTATTGGAATCAGTCCATTCATTAGAAACATTCAACCCAAATGAGACAAAGAACAAGTCCCAGATCTTTATGTGACTTTATCAAATGGGATTTTCAAATGCAAATACCAACAGGTTATGTAATAATTAGGGGTGTCAAATTATCGCGTTAATTGCGATTAATTAATTACAGTCATATTTAGCGCGTTATGTTTTTAATCGCGTTAATCTAATTTTTAATCTCTAACTTTACTGTTTCTGTATGCGAGTTGCTTTATTATAAAATCTGTTTTTATGTGTTGTTGGGACAACAACACACACACACACACAAAAACACATTTATACATTTTTTTATTTCGGTAATTTCACTCATTGCCGGAAACCCACACAAAACGCGCGCAGTAAGAGCGATGTAAACATCATATTTACGTTGGCGGCGTCAGTCACACAACGGACGAGGTGGAAGAGCCAGTAGAACAGAGGCAGCAGTGCACAGGTAAAAACACATTTGTGTCTTGGAAATTCTTCTCCCGACGTGAAATATAAAAGAAAATAACAAATATAAAATCGTCTACAACTTAAATGTCACTGGTGAAAACAACCTGCATAGGCTCATGATGTCTGCACTACTGTCCTATACACACACACACACACAAACACACACAAACACACACACACACACACACACACAACACACACACAAATACACACACACACACACAAACACACAAACACACACAAACACACACAAACACACACGCAAACACACACACAAACACACACACAAACACACACAAACACACACACACACAAACACACACAAACACACACCTTCATCATCGTCATTAACCTGAGAACGCGCGGACCATGTTTCCTTCCGTAGTTACATTCCGTAGTGTACATTTTCTCGCGTACGCTGCGTAAATCCTCCTGTGCGCCTCTAAACCAGAACTAACACCAAGACTAAAACCGGGACTAACCCAGTCCAGGACTAAACCAGAACTAAAACCAGAACTAAAACCAGGTCTAAACCAGGTCTAAACCAGGTCTAAACCAGGACTAAACCAGGACTAAACCAGGTCTAAACCAGGTCTAAACCAGGACTAAACCAGGACTAAACCAGGTCTAAACCAGGTCTAAACCAGGTCTAAACCAGAACTAACACCAGGACTAAAACCAGGACTAACCCATTCCAGGACTAAAGTAGGACTAAAGCAGGTCTAAACCAGGACTAAAACAAGGACTAAAACCAGTGATCTCATATATAAAGCATTTCTCTATCAATAATATTTTTAATATGGTTAAGGAAAGACTGGACTTTTTATTGTCTTTAAGTAGACAAAAGTTATTATGTTCAGATTTCCTCGTCTTTGCTACTTTACAACAAACAGTTTCTTATTCATGGAGACTTGGGCTCAACAGCCAAATTGGAGAGATTTGTTAAACAATAAATGACTTTATAAAGTCACTTTTTTTGTTCTATATCAGTCTTTTGATCTGCCACAATAATGTAATAATGAATTTAAATGAAAATACCTCAAATTGAAGGCTTTTCTCAGCAATTTTTAGGTGAGATTAAAAAGAGATTCATTAGATTAATTAATTACAGATCATAATTAATTAATCTCTCGATTTTTTTAATCGCATGACAGCACTAGTAATAATAGTGAAGAATATGAACTCCTCTGACCTGAGCTGTTTCAGTTTACAGTGAGGACTCTTCAGTCCAACACACAACATCTTCAACCCTGAGTCCTTCAAGTCGTTGAGACTGAGGTCCAGGACTGTCAGACTAGAGGACTGGGAGCTGAGGACTGAGGACAGAGCTTCACAGCTTCTCTCTGACAGGTTACAGCCGCTCAGTCTGGATGAGGAGACAGGAGCTCATTAGAGAAGAACTCAGAACAGAAGTGACAAGTTCAGACACATCCTTTCACTCCCAATCTCAACAATCAATCTGTAAAGAAAAAAAAATGTATTAATGAAAACAAAAACAGTTACTGTATTTCTCCTGTCCATCTGCCTCACGTCAGCACGCCGCCCCTCGCCTTTTCACGCTCTCGCTCCTTCCTGCGTACAGTGAACATAAGCCCCTCCCACAGTGCGGCTGATTAGAAGAGCAAGACCAAACATGAAGCAAAAACCAGTCTAAATTTTGTGTTCCAGGGTTGGCACAAAGCAGGTCTACAGCATAGAGCGGATCTACAGAACAGACCTACTGCCACATTTGGCTGAAGTTTGTCTAACAAAAGTGCACAAATGCATCTGTGTTTGTCACGATGTGCGTTTGGTTTGGTAAATGTGCAGAGGCTGGTAAATATCACTGCAAAAACAGAAAAGAATGTAACTCCAGTTTGGAACTTTAAAAAACAGGTTTAAAAATCTTACCTACTTCCTTCACTTTTTTCACAGTTTTGTGTAAAGTGCCAGTGGAAGTTCTCTTAAAGAAGGGCTTCTCAAACTGTGGGTGAGGGTACAAAAAAGGGACACAGAGTGTTTCAGTGCAGTTTGCTTGGCTTTGTATTAGGTAGATCATTTTGACTTGGTCATTTTGTAAGTAGCTCACATGCTGAAAAAGTGTGAGCACCTCTGATCTAGAGAGTAACTCTTCAGTGATTCAAGACACTGATGGTTCATGTGTCACTGCTCAGGCTAAAATAAACTCACATTTCCACACATTTATATTCTATTGTGAGGATGATTTCAGATATTATTCCTGCTCCCAAACCAGGAGAACCCCTGTCATGTTCTATTGTTGTGTTCCTCATCATGTTGGATTCTTTGTTCCAAATGTCACGACTCTGTGACACTGTATGTGACGAGAGCAGCACTTTACACACACTCACATCATTTCACACAAGGAGGGGCCCACAAAAGGGGTTTGGGTCCTGAGACTGAACGGAACTGAAACAAAAGACCCTGAAGTGGTAAAGTCCCGAGGTGTGACTCATGAAACATCAGAGCAAGAAAAAGGAGCAGAAGAATCGCGCTGGAGGCTCTGACTCCTGGACCAAAAATACAGACGATTTCTACATTTGGAACGCATGGATCTGTTTATGGACAAAAGAGGAGCAGAAATTAGCTTTACTCTGTATCTCCAAATCTTAACATGCTCTGTTCCACCTTGTGATGTCATGAAGTGGTACTTTTCAAATTAAAAGCTCCTTTTACCTTTTATTTAGTAGAAAATGTAAATTCTAGAACTGAAATGATCCAAATGATTCTAGTGAAGGTGTGTGGAGTTTAAAAACACAGTGGAGCACTTCCTGTACCACCACATGATGACATCAGAGTGTTGTGTGAAGAATCCCTCAGTCGTCCAGGTAGAATCCATGAGAAGAAAATCCTGTTTGTCGACTGGACAAAAGTTAGTTTGGTTGAAGACGTTTCGCAGCTCATCCAAGCTGCTTCTTCAGTTCAGGACCTGACTACACCTGTTGTTCTCTTGTTTGTTTTTGATTTAGGTTTGAGGATAGAGTTGTGAATAGGAGACAGATGGTGTCTGAGTCCATTTCTGTTTAGAGAAGGATTCTCTTTCTTAACAAAAACGGCTTCTTTCACTCTCCTCTCAAACCAATGTTTCTCTCTGGCTAAAATCTGTACTTCACTGTCCTCAAATGAGTGACCCGTGGCTTTTAAGTGGAGATGTACTGAGGTCCACTGTTGCTCTCTCTCGTCTGTGTTGGTACATCCTCTTGTGAAGTAGTTGTTTAGTTTCTCCAATGTAGCGTTCACTGCAGTCTTCACTGCACTGAATGGAGTAGACCACATTGCTTTGTTTGTGGCTTGGTGTTTTGTTTGGGTTGGACCAGTTTCTGTCTTAAAGTGTTCATAGGTTTGAAATAGACCGGGATCTCATGTTGTCTGAAAATCCTTTGTAGTTTTTCAGCAACACCAGCCATGTAGGGAATAGTTACCCCCTTTCTTCTGGGTTCTCATTCTCTGTTGTCTTGATTTTGTTGAAGGTCCATTTTGGATATCTGCAAACAGAGAGGGCTTTCTGCACGTTGTTCATCTTTCTCCTTTCCCTCTGTGCTTGTAGGCACCACTTGAGCCCTGTGTTGTAGTGTCAGAATAACTCCAAGTTTGTGTTGCAGTGGGTGGTGAGAATCAAAAAGCAGGTACTGGTCCGCGGGTGTGGGCTTCCTGAAGACCTCAACCTGGAGTCGTCGGTCTTCTTCTCCTGTCGTTACTGCACAATTTAAGAGAGCCAATGTGTTGTTCTGTACAGGTCAATAGGCCAAACTAACAAACAGAAACTGTAAACAAGTGTGTGTGTTAGTTTCAGTGTAGTTTGCTCCTCCCTGCAGATATAAGGAACTGTCCACCAGCGTCTGACCAGAACTGAAGAAGCAGCTTGGACGAGCTGCGAAACGTCTTCAACCAAACTAACTTTTGTCCAGTCGACAAACTGAATTTTCTTCTGAATCACAGAGTGTTTTCTGTTTGGGAGAAGAGCTCCGCCTAAATGTGCAAGTTTGTGTGTTAAACATGTGAATGAAACACAAGTCCAGGTGTGTTTGTGATGAGGAAACAACATTAGAACAGAGATCATAAAATAGTGTCATATGGAGCTTTAATGCAGGTAACAGCTCTAAGGTTTTATACTGATCTGTGTGATGATGTTGAGCTGAGGCCTGAGGATGATGAATACACCACATTCACACTCAGCATCAGTAACTGGCTCATACAGCACATGGGGCATGAAGGACTGCAGCTCAACTAGTTTTTGTGCTGAATGGACACTTCTAATGTTTGATTCTTAGTCAAATGATGTCCACATGTTTAGTCAAAGTGTCTTTGTGTCCACAGTAAAGTGGGCCATACCTGAGAGTGTCCAGTGTGCAGTGGGGGTCCTCCTGTAGAGCACACAGGAGCTTTACTCCTTTGTCTCCTGGATGGTTGTAGCTGAGGTCCAGTTCTATCAGATGGGAGGGGTTGGACCTCAGAGCTGAAGCCAGAGAAGCACAGCCTTCCTCTGAGAGCAGACAACCTGACAGTCTGGGGACACACAGATTATGGGAATCAGTCCATTCATTAGAAACATTCAACCCGAATGAGACAAAGAACAAGTCCCATATCTTTATGTGACTTTATCAAATGGGATTTTCCAATGCAAATACCAACAGATTATGTAATTATAGTGAAGAATATGAACCCCTCTCACCTGAGCTGTTCCAGTTTACAGTGAGGACTCTTCAGTCCAACACACAACATCTTCAGCCCCGAGTCATTCAAGTTGTTGAGACTGAGGTCCAGGACTGTCAGACTAGAGGACTGGGAGCTGAGGACTGAGGACAGAGCTTCACAGCTTCTCTCTGACAGGTTACAGCTGCTCAGTCTGGAGAGAGAAAACATTGTTCATGTAGAAGTTGAACCAAATCATCCTGTTAAACAAAGGAGACTCACAGAGCTTTGTTGGAGGCCTTGACCACTGGCAGCAGCCTCAGGAGAACCTCCTCTGAAGCAGAGTATTTCTTCAGCTCAAACTGGTCCAGATCTTCTTCTGATGACAGTAAGATGAAGGCCAGAGCTGAACACTGAGCAGAAGACAGTCCACCTTCAGACAGACATCCTGATGTCAGGTACTGTTGGATCTGCTCCACCAGAGAACGATCATTCAGTTCATTCAGACAGTGGAGCAGGTTGATGCTCCTCTCTGCAGACACATCCTCACTCAGCTTCTTCTTGATGTACTTAGCTGTTTTCTGATCGGTCTGGGAGTTACTTCCTGTCTGTGTCAGCAGACCTTGTAGAAGGCTCTGATTGGTCGACAGTGAAAGACCCAGGAGGAAGCGGAGGAGCAGGTCCAGGTGTCCGTTTGGACTTTGTAAGGCCTGGTCCACAGCTGTCTGATGAAGATGCTTTAGTTTTTTTTTCACACTCAACATTGTACACTTCTGTGTTTTCTGTGAGAGCAGGTTGATCCCAGTGTTGATGAAGGTCTGATAGACGTGAAGAGCAGCCAGAAACTCCTGCACACTCAGATGGATGAAGCAGTAGACCTTGTCCTGGTACAGGCCTGGCTCTTCTCTAAAGACCTGTGTGAACACTCCGGAGTACACTGAGGCCGCTGCAGCGTCCAGCCCACACTCGCTCAGGTCACTCTCGTAGAAGATCAGGTTTCCTTTCTGCAGCTGCTCAAAGGCCAGTTTTCCCAGAGACTCCACCATCTTTCTGGTCTCTGGACTCCAGTGTGGGTCTGTCTCAGATCCTTCTTCATACTTGATGTTCTTGACTTTGGCCTGAACACACAGGAAGTGGATGTACATCTGAGTCAGGGTCTTGGGCAGCTCTCCTCTCTCTCTACTTTTCAACAGATGCTCCAGGACTGCGGCAGCGATCCAGCAGAAGATCGGCATGTAGCACATGATGTGGAGGATTCTGGACGTCTTGATGTGGGAGATGATTGTGTCGGCCTCGTCTCTGAACCTCTTTCTGAAGTACTGCTCCTTCTGCGGGTCGGTGAACCCTCTTACCTCTGTCACCATGGAGACGCACTCAGCAGGGATCTGATTGGCCGCCGCGGGTCGTGTGGTTATCCAGAGGCGAGCGGAGGGAAGCAGGCTCCCCCTGATGAGGTTCACCAGCAGCACGTGCACTGAGGCGGACTCTGTGGGGTCGGTCAGGGCCTCGGTTTTGGTGAAGTCCAGAGGAGGTCTGCACTCGTCCAGACCGTCAAAGATGAAGAGCACCTGGAGGTCTTCAAAGCTGCAGAGTTCTGCTTGTGTTTGACTAAAGAAGTGACCAACAAGTGTCACCAAGCTGAAGCTTCTCTCCTTCAGCACATTGAGTGCTCTGAAAGTGAACGGGAACAGCAGCTGTATGTCCTGATTGGCTTCACCTTTAGCCCAGTCCAGACTGAACTTCTGAGTGAGCACTGTTTTCCCGATGCCAGCCACTCCCTTTGTCAGCACTGTTCTGATGGCTCCATGTGTGTGAGCTGGGCCTTTAAACATGTCTTTCACATGTGATGGCTGTCTCTGCTGGGCCTGGTGTCCTGGAGGCTGTTTCCATGTGTCTGACCTCATGTTCCTGGTTGACCTCTGAAGACCC